ATTCTTTTAATTTTTCATTTTTTTTGTTTCATTTTTTTTGTTTCATTTTTTTTTCTTTCATTTTTTTTCTTTCATTTTTTTTCTTTCATTTTTTTTCTTTCATTTTTCATTTTTTTTTTTTCATTTTTTCATTTTTTTCATTTTTTTCTTTCATTTTTTTTCTTTCATTTTTTTTCTTTCATTTTTTTCTTTCTTTTTTTTTTTCTTTCATTTTTTTTTTTTTTTCATTTTTTTTTTTCTTTTTTTTTTTTCTTTCATTTTTTTTGTTTCATTTTTTTTTCTTTTCATTTTTTTTCTTTCATTTTTTTTTCTTTCATTTTTTTTCTTTCATTTTTTTCTTTCATTTTTTTTTTCTTTCATTTTTTTTTCTTTCATTTTTTTTTCTTTCATTTTTTTTTTTCATTTTTTTTTCTTTCATTTTTTTTTTTTCATTTTTTTTCTTTCATTTTTTTTTCTTTCATTTTTTTTCTTTCATTTTTTTTCTTTCATTTTTTTTCCTTTCATTTTTTTTCTTTCATTTTTTTTTTTTTTTTTTTTTTCATTTTTTTTTTTTTTTTTTTTCATTTTTTTTTTTTTTTTTTTTCCTTTTTTTTTTTTTTTTTTTTTTTTCCTTTTTTTTTTTCATTTTTTTCTTCATTTTTTTTTTCTTTCATTTTTTTTCCTTTCATTTTTTTTTCTTTCATTTTTTTTTCTTTCATTTTTTTTTCTGTCCATTTTTTTTACTTCATTTTTACTTCTGTCCATTTTTTTTCCGTTGTCCACCCTTTCTGTAAACAATAAACAGACATGATCCTCTTTTTGAATTTCTCACCCCCACCACACACACAACCCTCACTGCACCCAAATTACTGGTTTCAGTTTGCAGTGTATATTTTAATTTTTTGAAAATTCCAAGACAATATTTTCTCCTTAATGCAATCAAAAAAACATGTTTTAGAAATTTAAAACCATCTAATCAAATATGGCTATATTTTGAAGAAAGTACCAAGAGTTTTTTCAACTAGGGATGGAGGTGACAGTAAGGTTTCATCAAGCACATGGCTAGTCTCTATTCTCAGACTGCCATTAAGTAAATGATTGACATAATTCTCATCTCTTTACAAAATAACCAAAATCTTATTTTCTTAATTTTTTTTATTTTTCTCCTCCTCTTTATTAGCCAATATTTTCTTTTATTAATTTTTTTTCTTGACTTCCAACACTTCTTCCAGAATTTGCTTCTACATACACTTCATTATTTTCTCACTTCCATATTCCTTTTCTTCCTCCTCCTTGTGTGCCTCCTCTTGCTTAACCTCTTCTCTCTTTTGTTCTCCTCCTCTTGCCTAACCTCTTCTCTCTATTGCACGCCTCCTCCTTCACCCTTATTCTCACTTATGGGCAACTCTTCATTCTTATCCATTTCACTCTCTCCCTACCTGTCATGTTCCACTTCCTGACTCACATCTTCTTTCACTCTTGCCTCACCACTTCTCTTTCTTTTGCATTCCTTCTTCTCTATTGCATTTCTTCTCTCCCAGTCTATTTCTCATACTTCTCTCTCACATATTTTTTCTCACACTCTTTCTCGTACTCACTCACTCTCGTATTTTTTCTCTCTCACTCACTCTCGTATTTTTTCTCTCTCACTCACTCTCGTATTTTTTCTCTCTCACTCACTCTCGTATTTTTCTCTCTCACTCCTCTCGTATTTTTTTCTCTCACTCACTCTCGTATTTTTTCTCTCTCACTCACTCTCGTATTTTTTCTCTCTCACTCACTCTCGTATTTTTTCTCTCTCACTCACTCTCGTATTTTTTCTCTCTCACTCACTCTCGTATTTTTTCTCTCTCACTCACTCTCGTATTTTTTCTCTCTCACTCACTCTCGTATTTTTTCTCTCTCCCCCTCCCTCCCTCTTGCATTTCTTCTCTCCGTCTCTCTTGCATTTCTTCTCTCCCTTTCTCTTGCATTTCTTCTCTCCCTTTCTCTTGCATTTCTTCTCTCCCTTTCTCTTGCATTTCTTCTCTCCATCTCTCTCTCTCGTTTCTTCTCCATCTCTCTCCTTCTTGCTTTTCTCTCTCTCTCACGTGCTGCTTCTTCTCTCTCTCTCACGTGCTGCTTCTTCTCTCTCTCTCACGTGCTGCTTCTTCTCTCTCTCTCACGTGCTGCTTCTTCTCTCTCTCTCACGTGCTGCTTCTTTCTCTCTCACGTGCTTCTCTCTCTCTCGCCTCACTTTTCTCTCACTCGTGTTACTACTCCTCTTACCTTACTTCTCTCTCACATTTTTTTCCTGCTCACTCTCCTTTTCATTCATACTACTTCTCCTTACTCACCCCCATCCTCTCACACATTCCACTTTCTTTTATCTCTTCTCATCTTCATCCTATTAATATAAATACTTTTAACTGCAGTTTTAAAGTGCAATCTTTTTATCTAAGCGCAAGAACGCTGTCTTTGTCTTAATCCTTTATTTAATTTTTTTTTTTTTTTTTTTTTTTTTTTTTTTACAGATTGTTCGCACTGATCTGCAAGAGCTCTATGACTTTGATCTTGGTGGAGCTCCTTATGGATACACACCTTTTTGTAGCAGCCGAACAGAAATGGATGGGTTTAGGTGAGCACAAACGAGAGAATTTTTCTATTTGGGACTATGAAAAGCTAAAATACCATCTTGTTTGGGGTCGGGGGAGAAATTGTTATCATTTTACTATAGCAAATAAAAATGATTTATTTAGGCTGATCCCTTATTTAAAAAGAACATTTTTTTATTTATATATTTTTTTTTTTTTTTTTTTTTTTTTTTTAAAGACCTAAAAGTAATGTACAGGTAGGGTAAGGGATATCTTCAAATTCTAGGTTAGTATGTTGTGTTCACTTTTGTACTATGGCCCTTGGGAAAGGCATGAATCTGTTTCATGTATATGCTCTCTGCTTCTCTAAGAGAAAAGGAAAACTGAATTCCAAACTGTGGAGAAAACAACAGCTCTAACATTGCCAAGAACACATGACAATTCACATTAAAAAAAAAAAAAGTTAAAAAAGAATCTGTACAGTGTTATCTTTAGCAATGTCCTAAATGTTCACTTTTTGTACTATGGCCCTTGGGAAAGGCATGAATCTGTTTCATGTATATGCTCTCTGCTTCTCTAAGAGAAAAGGAAAACTGAATTCCAAACTGTGGAGAAAACAACAGCTCTAACATTGCCAAGAACACATGACAATTCACATTAAAAAAAAAAAAAAGTTAAAAAGAATCTGTACAGTGTTATCTTTAGCAATGTCCTAAATGTTCACTTTTGTACTATGGCCCTTGGGAAAGGCATGAATCTGTTTCATGTATATGCTCTCTGCTTCTCTAAGAGAAAAGGAAAACTGAATTCCAAACTGTGGAGAAAACAACAGCTCTAACATTGCCAAGAACACATGACAATTCACATTAAAAAAAAAAAAAAAAGTTAAAAAAGAATCTGTACAGTGTTATCTTTAGCAATGTCCTAAATGTTCACTTTTGTACTATGGCCCTTTGGGAAAGGCATGAATCTGTTTCATGTATATGCTCTCTGCTTCTCTAAGAGAAAAGGAAAACTGAATTCCAAACTGTGGAGAAAACAACAGCTCTAACATTGCCAAGAACACATGACAATTCACATTAAAAAAAAAAAGTTAAAAAGAATCTGTACAGTGTTATCTTTAGCAATGTCCTAAATGTTCACTTTTGTACTATGGCCCTTGGGAAAGGCATGAATCTGTTTCATGTATATGCTCTCTGCTTCTCTAAGAGAAAAGGAAAACTGAATTCCAAACTGTGGAGAAAACAACAGCTCTAACATTGCCAAGAACACATGACAATTCACATTAAAAAAAAAAAAAAGTTAAAAAGAATCTGTACAGTGTTATCTTTAGCAATGTCCTAAATTGACGTTTAAAAGAAATATTCTCTGGATTTCTTGTATGAAGTGTTGTCTTTATTCTTTGAACTGAAAATGTTTTATACCAGAAATTCAGAGAATTTTTATGGGTACATAGCCAAGTGGTTAGAACATTTGCTTTCTGACCATGAGACCTGGGTTCAAATCTTACCATCAATTTGTCAGGATGGTGATTTTTTGATACTATCTGCTTGGAGAGGTATTCTCAGCATGTGTCACCTTTACAAAACCCAAGCCTTGTGTATAAAATTGTGTAGACAGAATTGTTTGTTGATGGTTGTGCTAACACAGTTACAAGTCATTGTGACCAAGGATTTGAGCATACTGGCCTTGTTCAAAATGTTGCTCATGCCAGATGATGTGCTCAATCCCAGAAATTGTCACCAAGATCTGCTCAGCATAGTTGTAGTATAAACTACAGTTGACTCTGTAAGTATTGAACAAGACACAAATGTGCCTGAGTAGGTTTCTGTAACAGGGATTAGATAGCTACCCTAGCAGGCAGGCATACCCCAATACAAGGGACCAGACATTATTCTTTTAATTATTCAGAAATAATCTTTATCTTTATTGTTTTGATAATATATTGGCTGAAAACTTATCAAAGCATCAGTGATAAAGATACTAATTCAAATCTGACTCTTCTGTTCCTATCAAGGATTGAATTCATTATCCTTGGCTAACAAATTTCTGAAGATATTAGACTCCCACTCCTCAGCCTAATGGATGTGTTCTAAGCAGTGGCAGGAGCAGGCGTGTCTCCCTTCCTGCCAAAGTGGATTTAACCTTTAGACATTATTTAAGTTTACTGAAATTTCTCCTCTGAATATTTTTCAATTGTCTGGTGAAGTGCTGACACTCAGTTTATTGAGCAAGATTCTGTTTTATCATAAATAATTCATGGGATAAGACACCATAAGAAATGCCAAAGAATACATCAGGTGTAACAAAACTATGATGAAGATATTAGTCTGTTCATGAAATAATTATGACTGCTAAAACACTGTAAATCTTTACTCTTTTCGCTTAATATTCATTAAAAATTTATCAATAAAGTTAAGGAAAATATTTGACTAAAACTCTTTAGAAATGAACCCTCTTTCTATGAAGAAAGAAAAAGAAAGAATTGTAGAATCCTCCTTGATAGAAGGATCTTTCCAAATCCCTTTTTTTCCTTTCTTTCTTTCTTTTTTCCTTTCTTTCTTTTTTCCTTTCTTTCTTTTTTCCTTTCTTTCTTTTTTCCTTTCTTTCTTTTTTCCTTTCTTTCTTTTTTCCTTTCTTTCTTTTTTCCTTTCTTTCTTTTTTCCTTTCTTTCTTTTTTTTTTCCTTTCTTTTTTTTTCTTTTTTCCTTTCTTTTTCTTTTTTCCTTTCTTTTTCTTTTTCCTTTCTTTTTCTTTTTCCTTTTCCTTTCTTTTTCCTTTTTTCTTTTTCCTTTCTTTTTCTTTTTCCTTTCTTTCTTTTTTTCCTTTCTTTCTTTTTTCCTTTCTTTCTTTTTTCCTTTCTTTCTTTTTTCCTTTCTTTCTTTTTTCCTTTCTTTCTTTTTTCCTTTCTTTCTTTCTGTCATATTGTGAAAATTATTAAGACTTGTTTTTAAACATTCAATCTTTGTTCTTTGTTCAGATTCTGGAAATCTGGATACTGGGCCAGTCACTTAGGAGGCCGTAAATATCACATCAGGTTTGTAATTCCTCTTTTGATTTTTTTCTCTTTTCGTGTGAGAAGTTAGTCCAGGGTATGATGATAAACTACATCCAGCAGTAATACCTCTGATCAAGAGGTTTTGAGGAGTGTGGAACCACTCTTAATTGCTGTTGTATCCAGGTCCACCCTGACTCAGAGTAGTAGCATTTGTTAGGTTCCCAGCTATGGGCAAGCAGTTAACCCTCCAAACAAAAACAAAACTCTTTGAAAGTATATAAATACATTTTTTATAGTAAAAATACCAGCAATACATTTTTACATAAAAAAAATACCCACAATACTTATTTATAGTAAAATTACCAACAGTATCCCAATCAACATGAATGAACATTTTTCTATCCATATAATATTCTGCAAGTTCTTAAATCAAACTGTATTCCAAAATATAACTTCCTCAAAACTACAGTATAAACACACATATCACTGCCTCTAATAATTATACCCACACAATTATCTATATTCACAAAAGCTGAGTATCATCCACCATGTATTCAATTGTGAATATCATATTTCTATTACTTTAAAACTCCCAAGGAAATTAAATTTTGGCATTAAATGACTCATAATGTGTTGATATGCCATTAAACAAACAAATCAAAACTTGTGAGAAGTTAGGAATCGCAGTTTCCATCACCCTTTCTGCAACTTCAGACCATTTTGCCATTGAGGTGGCAGGAATAAATACTGACTTGTAAAGTTAAAAGAATGTCAATACAAACACCATTCCTGTCTTTTATTTATGTATTTGGAATTTTTATTCAAAAGTGAAAGAAATTAAAAAAAAAATGTATGTCTGTTTGCGTATGCCCTTGTGCAGGTATGTCTGTTTGCGTATGCCCTTGTGCAGGTATGTCTGTTTGCGTATGCCCTTGTGCAGGTATGTCTGTTTGCGTATGCCCTTGTGCAGGTATGTCTGTTTGCGTATGCCCTTGTGCAGGTATGTCTGTTTTATGTATGCCCTTGTGCAGGTATGTCTGTTTCATGTATGCCCTTGTGCAGGTATGTCTGTTTACATCTGTTATGTCTGTTTATGTATGCCCTTGTGCAGGTATGTCTGTTTGCGTATGCCCTTGTGCAGGTATGTCTGTTTGCGTATGCCCTTGTGCAGGTATGTCTGTTTGCGTATGCCCTTGTGCAGGTATGTCTGTTTGCGTATGTCCATTTGCATATACACATATGAGCATGCATGTATAAATATATTTATAAGAATATATAAAAAGTTTCCCAAGAAAAGATTTTGATGAAGTGACCAGAACAACTCCTGTTATTAATAACTTCATCTTTTCTCAATATCTTCAATAAATACTCATTGGAATCAAAAGGTTTATTTGCTGAATGATGGCAACATCTATCTGCGCAGTTAGGGTTAAATTCACTTCATTTTGTGTAAATGCAGACAAACAGCAGCTATTTGTACGAAATATCCAGAATTTTGAAGACTCAAATTATCAACCACATTTTGAAGATGGAATTCAGAATGATTTGAAGGTTAACAAGAAATAGTTAATAACTTTTGAGCTTTCCAAAAGTAAAACAACATTGGAAATCTCCAATGATCCTGATTCTAAACACCTCCTGACCAGCACGTTCGGAAAGCATATTTTGTGAACTATTTATATACTACCAAAGTCAGTGATGATAGGAAATGAGATTTTCCTCTCTTTTTCTTTTTGTGTCTTAAATTTGAAGGTACAAGTTTCTACTCAAGTTCAGTATTTTTTCAGCCAGCAAGATGTTATTATTAGTTCTGTCTGATCAGTTATATATGCTGATAAAGTTTTAGGGAAAATGGTAACAAAAAGGGGACAACTATACTTAAAATCAGAAAGTTGAAATTTCTCATACATATAATGAAGAAAGTGGGCTTGGAGAATTTGACACTCTTAAGACATAGTGAAGGCAAGATGGACAGAGGAAAGCGGTGAGTAACCTACTTAATGAGTTTGTGTAAATGGTTGGTGGAACAGGGTAGGAGAGATAGGAAAAAGCATGCATTACTCAGAGGTACAAAGGACAGGAAGTAGTGGCAAACAAGATTGCCCATGTCCTGAAGGGACAAAATGCATAGAAGGGAATGGTTAGCTTAAGAAACATCTGATGACTTGACAATATATGATTTATAAAGATCTGTATATAAAATTTTGGTATCTCTTCTATTGGGATGGGAAAAAAAAAACAAAAATAAGATTTTTTTTCCACTTTGGTTTGAAAGTCCTGCTAAAGAAATTTTTTTTTTTTTTTTTTTGTCTGTCTCCTGTCGATGAGGATGTGGCTGCTGAAAAATGAAGGAAAGATGATAGCATCTGAATGTACATCTCTATATCTGGCATTTCACCTTTCGCACTGTATCAACCTTTATCAGTTGACCCTCAATTTTTCTTTCTTTCTTTCAGTGCTCTCTATGTTGTCGACTTGAAAAAGTTCCGGCGTATTGCAGCTGGAGATCGTCTGCGTGGACAGTACCAAGGCCTGAGCCAGGACCCCAATAGTTTGGCCAATTTGGATCAGGACTTGCCAAACAATATGATCCACCAGGTGGCCATCAAGTCCTTACCCCAGGAATGGCTGTGGTGCGAGACTTGGTGCAGTACAGAAGAATTGGCTAGAGCAAAGACGATTGATCTTGTGAGTTCATTCTTTGATTCATACCACCTAGAATTAGTTTGCTTTCTAATTTTCTGAAAAATAAGGAGGAAAAAATTACTTTATCTCACTCAAACACCAAGCAAATTAGATACTTATAATTGTAAATTCTAGGTAGTAATATACTTACTTCACTACCCTCCTCTCAAAAATTAAATGTTAATTTTTCCTACTTTTCAATTTATATTTGTAGAAAATATAAAATCCATATATGTAAAGCATAATGTATGTATGTATCCCTCTCTCACTATATATATATATATATATATATATATATATATATATATATATATGCTATATTTATAGGTAAAGGTGCTTAATATCAGAGATAGAGCTTATGTAAATATAGAAGTGGACACTGACATCAACACCATATGGTGATAATCTGTTTCATGCTTGAATGCATTCTTCGGTGTGAAGCAGATTGTCACCTCTTGTTAATACAGAAAATGTGTTCTCTGCCAGTGATTGTATCTTAATGATTTTCCTACAAAGGTGGACATGGAAAATATTTTCTTTATTAAGATTTCTTTAGTGCTCAGGCCAACAGACGTAATTCATGCTAGACATCTATTTCAAATACTAACAACTGCTATAATAGCTTTTAAAGTATAATATTTATATAAATATATATTGAGAGTGAGGGTTAAAAATGTATGACAAAGTGGAAAAAGTTTTCTTGTGATGCATTTCATCTTTTATGACTTTTCAAAAATTTATATATATATATATATATAAAAACTTCTAAATATCAATTTCTTTTTTTTTTGTTTTCCCTAACTTTAAAGTTTCTTGGTAAATTTCCATTTTTCAGGGAGTTCTGGTTTTTAATGATATTTCCATTTTTTTTTTATAAAAAAAAATGTGTTTTTGTGCAGCAGTCCCTCTTTTATACAAGTTTCATTAAAGATGACTGACAGGATACTGCAATTAAGCTTTTTATTTAACTTTTTTGTATTCATACAAGTGTTTCTTTTCTGGACACAGTGTGTAAAAACTGTCCATAATTTTTGCATATCTGAGTGCTTTCGGCTATTCTTTGAATCATTATCAAGGACGATTTTTATTTTTAAGTGAATGTTTGTGTTTTTTTTTTGTTTTTTTGTTTTTTCTGTATCTGAATTTATAGGAATGTTTTATTTTCCAAACACAGTCAGCACATTGTGATCATGTTCATAGTTAATGTTTTTGAGTGATGGGTCTTTCTTTTTTATTAATAGTGCTTCCATTATTTTTAATTTTTTTTTTTTGACATGTGCATGAGGCTATTATACTTGTTTCCTACTGGTATATTGCAGATGGAGTTTGGTAAGTGTGTGTGTGTATATATATATATATATATATATAGTAACTGTTTCCATAGAAGTCACAGATACTGCACTGTGATCCTAGTGTAAATACCTAGATACTACTCCGATTATTTACTCAGTGAAAATATTCATCCTCCTTCTCATCTAAAAATCAAAATTGCAGATAAATTTTGAGAAAAGTCCTGGTCTATTGAGTCAATGATAACAAATTTTATATTCACAGACTATCAAAATGCACTATTTGTTGATTTATAAGTTGGACTTCTTCCTACCTATCAAAAATGTATCCAAATATTATATGGCACACAGTGCAGGGAGCTAAGCACCAAAATTGTACAAGGTCTAGGAGGTCAAAAGGAGTGGCATCAAGTTATCCTCCAAAAACTTTTCTTGAAGAAGTTGTTTTTCTGGTGGGGGTAGCATATAGAATAGTTAAATTGATTCATCATTTTAATGTGCACAAGAAATATACTTTAGATACTTTAATGCTATGTATAAATCTGATCTCAGTCTGGTACAAGGGCACAATTCAAGAGCACTCAATATCAATAACTCCATGACATGTATTTACCTTAGGGCTCTGATTTATGTACAGATATTTTAAAATAGCTGAAGTAAAATTGTTCAGCTTTTAACTTTTAATACTCCGCTGGATGAAAATATCTAATTGGAAGCATTCTAAGATTTTTCTTACTATTTATAAATAAGCCTTTAGTCTTTTAGGACAGATAGTTTTGGGGTTTTTTTTGTTTGTTTTTCTCTCTTTTCACTTTTTTTTTCTCCTTTTACTCGATGGAAGGAGGATATTTCTCTTTGAAAACAAAGAAAAATTTTTAATTTTTGTTGAACTGATTACAAAAAAAAAAAAAACAAACAAATCTTAGCATTTGGCCAAAAAGAAAGTAAATATGATTTGTTCTAATTCATAAATCATTTTCCAGTGAAGAGAGAGATTATTTATGCACAGGTAATGTAATGGATGGCAACTTGGAATGAGAAATCAGAAAGACAAGTTTGAATTACAGATGAGTTCTTTATATTCACTTATGCACACAACTACACTTGGCAAAGGTATGAATCCATCTCTTCTCCCCCCCAGCTATGGGTTAATAGCAGGACAGACTGGGTTCTATAGTATTAGTTGACAACCAGTCTAAGAAATGGAAAATTCTAAATTCAAACCAGCCTGGGGAGTGGGGTGCCCAAGATACACCAGTGCTACTATGACTGCAGTACATGTGGTGCTCCTACTAACTTACAAGACTTGAGTTTTTGCAAAATCAACATATCATCTGGTTCACACTCTTCACTGGACTTTTTTTACAGGAGTAGAGGTTTATCCCTTGTTTCTTGTTTAGGATTATGTTAGCAGTTCCTTCTAAAATCTACTTCAACTTATAATGCCTAAATACTGAAATTTTATTTACTATGTATTTTTTTCCTCAACGGAAGTATATTGGTTTGCCTATCGTCCGGTTCACACTCTTCACTGGTCTTTTGAATGTTTCCTGTTTAAGACTGGGTTTCAAATTCCTTAAGTTTTTCCATTCTCTTTCATTCCCAGTAGCTCCTTGCATCTTAGTGGCATTATCACCTTGCTTGGGGTGAATTGATAAAAAAAAAAAAAAAAATTATTATTTGTTGGAGATTAACTAAGCAAGTGATTTCTTTCATAAATGGCTTTTAGTTTGGTTCCATTCCCAATATGTAGTCTCTGCTTGTCCTAGATTGACTTCCCCCTTTCTTGGTACTTAATCTTTCTATCATCTGTTTACCGCCAACTTAGTTTTTAGGACTCATTAAAAAGACAAGATGTTATTGCCATTGTAAGTCTTTGCTTCTCTGTGATTGACAATAACATCTGAAATAAGAGCAAAAAATATTTATCAGATTTTGCTAGCGTCTTGTTTTATCATAATCATTATCATCATCATTATTATTATTATTGTAAGCTGTCCAGTTTTTATTTGTATCATTTATACCTACCTTGAAAAACAAATAATTAAGTAATAAAAAGAAAATAGTTTTGTTGGAATTTTTCTTTTCAACTGCTTCATTTTGTTTTATTTTATTTTGGCATCTTCTTTCACCCTTAACCATGGAAGGAGTCGTTGGTGTGCCAACATGCTGTGCTCTCTACCATTCTCCTCCATCTGTTGTGGTTATGTGCCTTAGCAAAATGGCTTCTTGGTTTGCTCATCATGTGGTGTGTGTTGGGTGTTTTAACCTTTCGAAGCCCATTACTCTCCAGCATTTAAAGACAGCACCATCAAAAAAATCAATGTTTACATATTTTTACCTGAAGAAAGAGAAATTAGGCTTTCTTAAAAGAATCCAACTTGTCTACTTTGAAAACTTCTTCTTCTGTCCACTGCTGTCCAACCATTGTCTTGTTGAACTACTACTTCTGAAATACACACTCAACAGTTGCAAATAATCATACTCAAGTCCTGTTTCCAGCCAATATTTAATAATGATATAACATAGAGTAAGAAATGGATTGTCCCAAGCTGAAGTTAGTGCATTAGACTGAAGATCTAAAGGGCTTCACTATCAATATCAAATAGTATTTGGTGATAGTTTAGTAATCATTTTTGGCCACACTTTTCTGAAAATATGGCTCCTACTCCTGCAACAATTGACTATATTCAATAGCATATAAACCCTCATGTTTTTCCTTACAAATGGCTTTGAAAAATTCCAACTAGTCTACTATCCTGAATTGAGGTATGTGATAAGCTAATTCTTACTTATAGATTACCAGTACTTGTACGTAGCCTAACTCTCTATTACTGTAGAGTTATATGTAGATTGATAGAGTAGAGTGAATTATATACCATCAAATTTTGGGAAAAGTTTTACACTTTATCAGTTCACACGAGAACTAGTGGTAGGAGCAATTGCTTGAGTGTCTGTCTATGAAACTCTAGAGTCGAGATGCTGAAAATAACATCAATCAGCTAAGGACAAATTTTATATTTGTATTAATCCTATATATATATATATATATATATATATATATATATATATATATATATATATATATATATTTATATATTAAGAACAATAGTGGTGAAAATGTCTGACAAAGTGGAAAAGTTTTTTTCTTGTGATGCGTTTTGTCCTTTAGGACTTCATCGCACTAAACTTGTTTTACTGGTGTGACTACACATGTGTACGAATGAGGAATGCTGGAAATTACTAAATGAAATTGACTAGATTCAAAAAACAAAAAGAAGTAAAAAATTTATCATGAAGTCCTAAAGAAGTCCTAAAAGATGAAACACGTCACAAGAAAACTTTTTCCACTTTGTAATACATTTTTCCCTATATATATATATATATATATATATATATATAATGACCTTTAAAATGTTAAGTGGCAACAAAACTTAAATTAAAGAAAACTTTTCACTGAACCAAGCTCTTCTCTTAATATCGTTTCCTCCATTATGAAATATGAATATTTATACAAATGTGGTCATGCAATGTTCCTGTTTTAAAAGTTAGCATTGCATGTATAATTGCTTTGATTTTGTAATTTAAAAATTTCATATAAAAATTGAAAAAGAGTTTCCTTTTGGCTGCCATAACAAACTGAAAACTTTTGCCTCAATATCAACATTATTTTTTCTCTTTGAAAATATAATTTTCTTTTAATGAATTTGAATTTATTTAATTGCTGCCAATGTATTTGAGGTGTTGATGAGTTCCTTATTTTCTGCCATG